ATACATGCAGGCAAAACACTCATACACATAAAAAATAAAAATAATAAAATATTTATTTTAAATTTTAGATCTATATGTAAATAAATTCATGTATGCAACAATAATAATAAAAGAAGAAAAGAAGTTGAGGAGTGGGGGACATGGGAGGAGGAGAGAGAGAAGTGGGAGAGACAGAAATGATGCAAATACAGTATGAAACTCAAAAAATTAAAAATTTATTTTTAAAATTATAGATCTGGTTAATATATTTTCTATGCATATTTCTTATATGTGTGTATAAATATATACATACACATCACATAAATACAGAAAGAGACAGAAACAAAGACAAGAAAGAGTTTGGGTGGTACCACATTAAGGTTTATAATTATTTTATTAACCTTTTAAGACTCAAAAAATCAATTAGTTTGAAATGGCAGAATAAAGAGATGTTCAATTTCTCTCTGCAGTCTAAATTCCAAAATAATGAATTCATTTTCTCAAAAATCTATAATATGCCTAGAAGATAAAACAGTAATGGTCTTGGTGGATCAGAAATTAGTAGTTCCTAAGCAACCAGAGGTTGATGTGACGAGATTGAATGAGAAACAGCTGTGTAGGAATGGTTTCTATAAAAGCAAGAATAGCATTATATTCTTACACAGGGTAGAGCCCAGAAATTAAAGAGTGTGGTCATTTAGCATTATTCTCATTAAAAATGTGAAAAGGAGCCAAGAAGAAGATGGCTGCAGATTCTTGCTCCCTTTCCACACTTTAAAGGAGGGTCAAAGCAACATTAATAAAAGTGAGGGAAAAGATATAAGAATAGGAATGAATGGAAATCAAACCATTAGTGATACCTGATGTGATAGCCTACCTGGAAAATACAAGAGAATCCGCTGACAAACTCTGAAAACCAGGAAGAACGTTTAATATGCGCGCCAATACAACACAACCATCCATAGACCTATAGCTTTCTTTCAGTACTGGGAAAAAAAACAAATGATTCCAGTTTTGTACAATTTCTTTTTTAATTTGTAAAAGAATGTAAAAATACAGTTGAAACTCCTTGTGCATTTCTTCTCTGTTTCATTAAACTCTCTCCAGCCTTTTCTGTAAGCACTGTTATACACTTAGAGCTTTTACTCTCATATGTGCATTTTAGGTTACTACATGTGTGCATGTTCTCACATCATAGACATGTTATTACAACTATTTCAAAATAAAAAGTAATGTACATATATTGTCTTTCACATTGAAATTTTTCTCACAAATTTAGATTATAACAAGTTTGATGTGTGTGTGTGTGTGTGTGTGTGTGTGTGTGTGATTGCACATGGCAGCTAACAACTGTCCTTAACTCTAGTTCCAGGGGATCTGACACCCTCTTCTGACCTCCTCAGGTACTGCATGACATGGGTGCATCTGTGTACATGTAAGCAATACACCCATATACACAAAATAAAAATAAATAAAATTTAAAAACAAAAACAAAAAAACACAAATGATCAACTTAAAGTCATTTTTAAAAAAAGGATGGGCTTTGAGTGACTGGAATGCACCACATAGGGTCATCAGTTGTGGTCATGTCTCACCCTCACTGGGGATGTAGACAGGGGTTGCATGTGGGGCAGGGGCACTCTAGAAATTCTTTGTACCTTCCAGTTTTTCTGTGAACCTAAAACTGGCCTAAAAAATAAAGTATTCCTAACACTTACAAAACATAAAACCCTATAAATGTAAAAGAAAATACATATTATTTTTGAGCAGCAATTTCACATCGAGGAATTTGTATACAGAAATCATCAGAGCGGCACATACCAGTCCAGCAGTAAGATGTTCACTGTGGGTCATATCTTGCACCCAGCACTTTCACTTCTGAGAATCCATCCTGAAAAGTGATTAGAACTGTGAAAAAATATTCACCTGCATTTTCTTTGTTTTAACTTTTAAAAAACCTTTATTGAGAATTTCATACATGCATATAAGGTGTTTTGATCGAATCCACGCCCACCCCTCCAACACCTCCCATATCTCCCCATCACTTTTTTCTGAC